TATTTATTTGATTTGGGGCTTGTTTTAAAATTTCTATTTAGTTTTGTTATTTACATTTACATTATATTTAAATTGTATTATTTAGCAAACGCTTTAATCCAAAACCAATCAAAACCAACAAAAGAGCAATAATTTACAAGTGCTATATTAGTATATTATTGTAGTGTTCTATTTCAATTTCACAAAGAAATGTACAGTATTTTGTCCAAGCAATAATAAAAGGACACATTTAATTTATAATTTCTCTTAAATCTCATTTTGTTAAAAAAAATCGTGTCCGATTTTATATAAATATAAAGACATTGCCAACCCTAAACTGCAACTTCCCGCTCTATTAACTTTCTAAAGTGTCAAATTAAGTAGAAGAGACAAGTCCAAAGACGCTTGTAATAGCTGGATCCTGCGCCCGCGCACTCACTCACAATTCTCAAGCCTCGTTCACTCTGCCAGCGTCTCGCAGAGCTCATTTTCATATCACGGGCGCTAAACATCAAACTGTCTAAACTTAATTATACATGCAGACACTCATTTGAGGAGCTTTAAACAGCAGATTAGTCATTTAGAGAGCAAATTAAATTTTTAGTTTATTTTTGAACATTAAAAATGTACAGAGGTCCGTACCTCATAGCTGGCTATGGGCATGCATATGTTGTATAAAGCTTGAAGCATCAGAATCGGCATCGGTATCGGCCAATCACCATGACAAGAAATCGGTACTCGGTATCGGCTGCAAAAAATCCTGATCAGAGCATCCCTAATATAAAGCTTTTAATATGACTAAACTGTTTTCTTTTGAACTCTGTCTGATTAAATTCAGTTGACTCATTTGCATAGTTAGATATTTTCTTTCTGCTGCCCTGTCAAACATTTGCTGCAGCAACAGTGTTTATTCCTGCCTTGTACATGCATTTAAATTCACTATATTTTTAATAACGACATCTCTTAATCTTCAGCAGATAAGTGAATCAAACTGTTCCCTGTGATTGGCTGTTTGCCACACATCACACTTTCAGGAGTTAATCACAAACTCTGGATCAAACTCTAGGCACGTTCACACAGCAGCAGAATACGGTTGTCAGTCCTGTATTTGAGTCCGTAATACAGTTACGTTCACACACATTTCGGTTATTTACGGGTGTGAGAACCGCATTCTGTAACCGAACTCACACCTGTAAATTTTCAGGACTCACAACCGCATTCTCAGAACACACGCTCTTTGTGAACTGAACAGGACTGGACAACTAGTTGTCTGTCACGTCATACAGTGCGAGAGGGAGCCGCTCTCATGACACACGTGTCGAACGTGTGTTACGTGTTTTCATGTGTGTTTTCGGTAACTTACAGTGACGACGAAGAAATTAGCTGTGTGTCTGTCACCTGAAATTTTTAGATCCCGTCAGTTTTCCACCGGAGCCGCTCCCGTCAGTTTTGTGTTCTGCGCGCGACTCAAACTCTGCTCTCCACCCAAATTTAAAGGCTGCTGTCGGTTAATGAAGATTTGACGGATGAACTCGCAGCTCGATTGGACTTTTGTCGTGTCAGAAAGTGATAAGACTTTCAGTTTTATGGGCATCGCCATCTTTGATCTTACTTTGGTCACTGTCGCTATGCTTACTGGTAAGGAATACGGGCTTGACTCCTGTTGCATGTTCATACAGACAGTATTCTAAACACAGCTGTAAGCTGCTGTGTGAACGGGACATTTCGAGACTCACACCTGTAAAGAAAATGCGGTTTGTCAATCCCAAAAATTGACAGTGTGAATGTAGCATGTTAACAGAGAACATTTATATAGAGATTTGTGAGCCTGGCTGAACCTGATCTGTTGGATTTGTTTGGTTTTGTCAACTCTAAATTTACTCTGAAACGCAGAGTTTCGCTTCAGAGCTAGCTTCATGCAGCAGGCCACAGGTGTCAGAAAACAGGCAAAATCTGTTGTGCAGCTTGCATTGTTTCCATGGTTAGTTAATGAAAAAATTTTTTAATACCAGCAGCTGCTCAGAACTGAATAAAAAAAAAATAAAAAAAAACACCTAACCAGATTGTCTTCTATTTGATTGATCTGTCAACAGTGATGTTTTGAGCTGAAGTACTCCTGAAATTGACACATGCCTAGGTTGTGGCCTCAGAAATTTTTTGGGGGAAAAAAAGTTTGAAACCATGGCATCTGTTTTAATGAGACACTGCCTCACTGTTTCAGTCTCCTCGTACAGATACACAGCTGATTGGCTGTGGGATCCAGTGACTTGATTTGAATCCCTAATGGTTGAGGGCTCCGACATCATTTGCTCTGGCATTCTGGGCACGTTTAATAGAACCGCCAGATTAACTGGAGTATTGTCAAAGCCTGACTCGGTGCACCTCGCGGTGCCGCCAGACAGCTGCTTGTTCCCTCCAAACGTGTTGCAGATGTCTTTAGTTACATGTCCCTCAGCATCAGCAATCAAGCCATAAAACCCACTTACCATAAAATTAAGATCAACCCTGACTTCCTTTGAAACATATGGGCTCTCGCTGGCTATCGATCAAGCAGACATTCAGAGCCGGAGGCTGAGCAGCCAAAACACACTATGGCAGATGCATGCAAATGAGGTCGCGGTGGAAGCAGCAGCATCAACCCTAGCTTTTGTGATAGACTTGGGGGGGGGGCTTTTGCTATTCTGTGCCAGGGGCTTTTGCTATTCACACGGCTTCCTGTTATCTTTATGGTGTTTGAGAACTTCAGACACGCTTCTCACTTCATTCAATAATGAACTCTTCAGAGGATGCAGAGACAGAACAGACAGATATTAGCATGCCATACTCTTGATAAATCTATGCTTATTATCTTAAAAAACATCTGTTTACATCATCCAGAAGCTCTTATGCTTCTCATCATCCAAAATTCTCATTCCTATCATGCCTTGAGCTGCAGCCTTCTCTATGGCAACTTCTGCACTTTCGCTGAGGGATTTGGTGGAGTTAGATTACCCGGCAGTTCAGCGCAGGTGAGGGATTATTGCGCGACATCTCGGGATCCTTTCACGTCTGTGAAGGTTAAATCTGAGAGCTTAATCAATAGAATCCTCATGATACCATAACTTTTCTTATTAGCCCCAGCAGCAGCAGCAAATGTCATGATGCTCCAGAGAGCAGCACAAACTAATAAAGAGCAGATCTGAAAATACACGTATATGCGACCTTATTTTTTTCAAAGATGCATCCTCGGCAGCGAGAGTCACTGAGTGATGTGAAAATGTTTTTTGTCAACAAACATGTGCAATGGTTTTATAGATGAACCGATAAGTTATTACCTTGTTGTTATGACTGATAACTTATAAATGGCTAATAAAATAAAATAACTGTTTTGTCTAACTTGTAAAGTTACTACTTGTAATGTAACTAAATATTTTTAATAGATTAAAAAAAAAAACATTTTAATCTTTGTTTTAAAATGCGGTTAATCGCGATGAAACTGAGGTGGCGAAAGATCTTTTCCATATTGCAGCGAACATCCAAGTGGAGTGAATTAACAAAAAAGAAAAAAAGAAGGGAAAGTTCAAAAGTGACTAACAACATTTTTTATGTTTTTGTTTCAAATAAATGCTGTTTCTATTCAGCAGAGTATCCTGAAAATATATCAAGATTTCACCAAAAATATCAAGCAGCACAACAGTTTTCAACATTGATGATAATAAGTTTTTGTATTACAAGGATTTCTAAAGGGTCATTTAACACTGAAGACTGAATGCTGAAAATTTAACTTTGACGTCACAGAAATAAATTACATTTTACAATATGTTCAAATAGAAAACAGTTCATTTAAATCGTGTTGATTTAATTACTGTTTTACTGTGGTTTTTATCCAATTAATGTAAACTCTGTGAGCATAAGAGACTTTCAGAAACATTAAAAAACTTTTCTGACCTCAAACTTTTGGAATGTAGTGTGTCTGTTTGTCCATTTATGACGTTTTATTCCTTAACTATTTTAAAATGGCACTTTATCGTTTTTAGTGGGCATGAATCACTTAGTATTTCGTCTTTTACACTATGACTGAAGCTTGTTTCCATACTTGCAGCTGCCTTGTTGATGTTGTTAAAGTTGATATTTTGCTCTTGTTGCACCTACAGCAGTGCCACTGCCCCCTCACCAGCGGCTGACAATAAAGGACCTATTTGTGGATGGTAAGCCAAATGCCGAGCTACTGAAGAACCATTTGATCAAAGAGGGACGTGTGGAGGAGGACGTTGCGCTGCGCATCATAAACGAGGGTGCCAACATCCTAAGGCAGGAGAAGTGCATGCTAGAGGTGGAGGCACCAATCACTGGTAAGAAAGCAAGAACATATCTTTAGTAGGGCTTGAGGGAGATGACCATCTGTCCAGATTACAATGAACTTTGTTCTGACTTGCGGTTTTGTTCTGCTGAGGCTGAACCTAGTTCTTAACAAAAAAAAGGTGTTTTTTCCTTATGGAAACTTCATGCAACGTATTCATTATTACACTTCATTGGCATCAGCGTGTGTACCTTTAGCCAACAATAAAATAATAAATCGTAAAACGATTGGTTTGGTTGATAAGTAACTATTCAAGTAGGCCCATATGCTATCTGTGAAAGCAGTTTTCATCAGGCATACAAAATTGGCATTGCTGTTGAGTTTTTTGCAGAGATTACCTGATTTGTGTTACACACTGTCACGGTGGAGAATCAGCTGCGGAAAACTGACTCATATGGAGCTCCGTGTCAGTGCCGTTGGTTCATAAGGACAGATACTGTCTGCAGATCAGTGGCACGCAACACAGAAAACAGTCACAGATTCTGCCGTGGAATGTGGTCAGTGATGCTTCAGTGAACAGTTGGAGGGATGTGCAGAAACAAATCAACTAAATGAAGGGCTGCCTGAATGACAAGTCGACTATTTGCTCTAAAGGAAGACTTTTTGTCTGGTTTTAAGTGCAACTGACCGTGATTGAATGATGCTACTTTCCTGTCTACATTTAACTTTATTACATAAATCAGGGATACATGATATTTATTTTTATTTTTAATTGATCGATTGGTTTTGTATCAGACAGCCAATAGTGTATATTGCGCTTGCACATTTCCCATATTTCTGAAAATATGTTACCTTTGTTGTCATCAAGTTAATCTTTAAAAATGAATAATTTATAAACACTGCTAAATATAATCTTTAGCAAATCTCAAAATGAATATCTTTTTTTCATACTGTGAATAATTTTGTAAGTTTCTAAGGTCTAAATTCACTTGTAGCATTTGAAATGATGAAATAATTTTCATTATCTCCCATAAATTTAGTAGTATTATTTTTTAATTCATGACAAAAGTAAAAAAAAAAAATGTTGAGAGGCTGATTATACAAACACACTAAATAATGCCACTAAAAAATAAAAAAGAAATCCTAGTTTATAAACTGGTTGACCTCAATAATTTGCTAGTTAGATGTTGGATGACTAGTCAACTATTTTGATCCATCCCTAGTCACCCTGGTTTGTGAGAAAATGCATAATTGTCAATTAGTTATGGGTTTTGCTTCTTTTATTTGACAGATAGATTAATCGAAGAAAGTGACAGAAAATCATATAATGGCCATTTACAGATTATACAGGAGAGTCTGTATAGCATCTGAGTAATCTTAAAGTGCTTAAAGTGTATTATGGGTTATGAAAGGTTCATATTTTGGTTTTGGGAGTCCCCAACAACTGGTTGACATGCATGCAAGGTCAAAAAACACTACATAATATGCATTTATTTTTTCCTTTTTTGCTCAACGACTCCCAAACCCCTCCTTTGCGTGACGCTAAACTGTAGTGTTTGGTCTGATGACCCAGTCTGTTGTGATTGGTCTACTGCATGCAGCGCATGTCAATAACGGAATGCCCATTACCATTAGCTCGGTGGTAAACACCCAAACAGCCATAGTATATGCATTAGCCCAATGCAGAAACGTATTGATAAAGCACTGCAGTTTGTACACCAACGTATTGCTCTATTCGTTATCAGAACTCCAAGTAATAACAACTACAAACATTCACTATTCATCGACACATTTCTAGACAATTGCGAGCGATCAGATATTTCTGTTAGCCGGTTAGACAGAGACCTACAAGCTGCATGGAGCGAACACAACACACACACAACTAAATACGTATTTTGCATGCTACAGTACAGAGTACATGACAGCAACCGCTTTTAAAAGAATCACTCCACTTTCAGAATAAAAATTTCCTGATAATTTACTCGCCCCCATGTCATCCAAGATGTTCATGTCTCTCTTTCTTCAGTCGCAAAGAATTTAAGGTTAAAAATGCAGTTTCAATGCAGCTTTAAAGGGCTCGACACGATCCCAGCCGAGGAATAAGGGTCTTATCTAGCAAAACGATTGGTTATTTCTTAAAAAAAAAAACATCAACTAATATTTATACACTTTTTAATTACAAATGCTCGTCTCTGTGAGACGCATGTGTACTCTGTCTGTGTACAATGGTTCAAGACAGGGCATGTCTAAAAACTCCCAACACTTTTCTCCTCCAACTTCAAAATCTTCCTACATCGTTGTTTTACCTTTTTTTTTTTTGTAAAAGGTGTTTGACCCTCCTTGCACATTTACTTTGTAAATACTGAGTCAGTGCTTCTGCAGCAATGTAGGATGATTTTGAAGTTGGAGGAGAAAATTTAGTTGGGAGATTTTTGACATACCCTAACGCAGGGTTCCTCAAATTTTGCCCTGGAGGGCCAATGCGCTGCAGAGTTTAGCTCCAACCCTGATCAAAGTCACCTACCTGTGATTTTCTAATGATCCTGAAGACATTGATTAGCATGCTCAGGTGTGTTTAATTAGGGTTAGAGCTAAACTCTGCAGGAAAGTGGATCTCGTGGGCCAGATTTGAGGATCCCTGTCCTAACGGATTTACCCTCACACTGCAGAGCACAGCGTCTTCTCCACAGGAATCCGCTACGGTGTTTGAGGGAGGGGAGGTTCAAGTTTTCCCAGGTCTGCGCGCGCAACAAGTGGGCGGGCATAAATATGCTACTTTTTCATGTTAACGTCAACTTGAAACAGCTTAAGATTCGTTTTAAAAACGACTTTTCGTGACTCAGAGTCGACTCTTTCTTTTGAAAGACAATAACTTTATACACGGTGCACTTTTAGATTTAAAACTTTGCAGGATATTTTCATTCACTTAGAGCACACTGCATGAAAGGTAATTTTCAAAAATCCATAATAGAATCAGAAAGAGCTTTATTGCCAAGTATGTTTGCACATACAAGGAATTTGTTATAGTGTCACAAGCTTCCAGTACACGGAGACAACAACAACACAGATAATAAAAGTGAGATGTGAATAAAATACACATGCATAAATAGAAATCACACAAAAAAAGAATAAATTGTATGTACAGGTGTGCTATAGATGGAATAGGAATAGAATAAAATAAAATAAGTTGTAGGGATGTACTAGGATTTAGGGTGATAAATAAGTATAAGGTTATTGCACATACTGTACTTTAATTGCACAATGGGAGAACATTAACTATTTATGAGGTAGATTGCCTGGGGAAAGAAACTGTTCTTGTGCCTGGCTGTCCTGGTATTCGGTGCTCTGTAACGCCGACCAGATGGCAAAAGTTCAAAAAGGAGATGGCTTGGATGTGATGGATCCAGAGTGAATTTCTGAGCCATTAGGGGCACTTTAAATTCAGCTGGTCCTTATCAGTGACGAGCAGAGCTTGTTAAGCTTACTTAATTACTTGATGAAGATGTTGTGCTTCAAGGTTTAATTATTGTTTGCGTCATGCCACGGTATTTTATGATGCAAATGAATTAGCTCATCTGTCCTCTATAGATATCACTGCCATTGAGCATGAATTAATAGATGTCACAATACCCCTCTGGCTCTAGATACATTTTGTTTTATAAATGGATCCAGCTTCTGTTTTTTCAGATATAGTGTCGTTGTTGCTAAGTGACAGAGCAGTCTTGTACATGTGGCCGTTGTTGGCTGGATTGATTTAAGTGAAGTGTTTGGTCTCTGTACAATTCAGCACTTCCCTATGGCATTTGTTTTATAATGTGATGTGATACAGAAAACCTTTTACCACTTTGCTTACAGTTGCCGTTGATTTCAACATGAGGCGGGTGTTAAGTACCACTCACTGAATGTGATGTGCAATGTTAAGCTTTTATTTTGTTTCCCTTTCACCCCCAGTATGTGGTGATGTTCACGGACAGTTCTTCGACCTCATGAAGCTCTTTGAAGTTGGTGGTTCCCCCGACAACACGCGCTATCTCTTCCTGGGCGATTATGTAGACCGAGGATACTTCAGTATTGAGGTGAGTGGAAGTTCTTGAACTGAAGTAATCTGGGACAAGAGGCTAGCACAGAATCTGCACCTGCAGAAATCTGGTTCACTGGACACTGTAACGCCTGTTATTCACAGATTTTTATACATCCTCCATCCTTTGTGTGTGTGTGTGTTTTAGGGCTGCATGATAAATCGCATGCGATATTTAATGTGCATCTTGTCATGCACATCATATATGATCGTGGGTTTGCGCAGCTTGTCAGTGAACAACGGCTCTGTGTAGTAAATGCTGCTCAATGTGAAAGCACGCACGTGATGGAGATTTACCGTTGATTATAGAACCGGCTTTACTGACACGCATTAAATATCTCATGCGATTTATCGTCCAGCCTTAGTGTGTTTTTTCCCCAAAATGTTTTGCTAATTTATGAATTTAGCCAATAAGGCTGCATTTAAATTACATGGTTCAAGTGACCCAATTCTGATTTTTTTTTCTTCCCTTGTGGTACAGATCAGATACGACCCATGAATATGTAAGCAGGAGTAAAACACATCAGTTCTGATATTCTCAGATCGGTTTCAGGCCTTAAATCAAAACATGATATGGACTAGTGTCTGTGAATATTAAGCTGCAAAAATACCATTTAAATCTGAATCCTGCATGTACTGCGTGTCTCTGTGTGAATGAACATTGCAGATGCGCAGTTTCGTTTACTACACAAACTGAAGCATGCGTGATGCTCACGGTGCTTTCAGCTTCTGTCACCTCAATATATGAGTATATGAACACATGAATAATCTCTAGAACTGCTCTGAGAGTCACTTCATGAGCATTTTACAGTTTCATTTGAGAAAAACTATCATATGGGCTACAAACAGAAATTTGACCGTCTTCTCAGCAACCCCTCAAACTAAAAGTTCAGGTTAACTTGAAGAAATTGTGACAGAAATATATTAATGTAATGATAGTACTACTACTACTAATAAAATTATCAAAACATTTTTTAAGGAATATTTACCAAAAAATATTATTTACTAGAATTTATTTAGCAGAAAAATTTAAATACACAGTATTTATGGGGGGTGGGGGGGGGATAATAATACATTATTTTTTTATGAAATCAATTGATTGGAGATGCCTTTGATTATTAAAATTTAATGAAACCATTAAAATTAAATCTAAAAAGTAATGGAAAACACGGAATTTGGTAAAAATAAAACTGAATTTGAGAAAAAATAAACATAGGGCCTTAAAAATTAAATTTTTGTTAAACTTTTGATAAATTGCTGTTAAATTGTGCAAGTTTAATTAGACATGCTGTTTTTATTAATAAAATTTAATTTAACCATTAAAACGGAGTATAGAAAAAATGTAACTGAAACAAAAACTGAATCCAGAAAAATTAAAACAAAATTTGAAAAAAATAAATAAGTAAAAGCTGACTTCATAGGGCCCTAGTACTCAGGGATCTGTACATGTACCAGTGGGAAACTATTATTGCGTGCATGTCTGGGCTCATTCTTACTTGGCTGAGAATCTGACGTCTTCTCTGAACTATCTGTTAAGGCATTATCAATGGCTACACTGCCACATTGGCAACAGTGCATGAACTACCACACATAAGCACAAAAGAGAGGCAAAGCAGATTGTGCTATAATATCTCCAGTAAAGACAATCGCGTTTAGTTTTAAAGTTTGCCATGTCATCTTTTACATAGTTACCACAGCTGCTCTGATAGGACAATTATATTATGGCTTGCTTTGCCTTAATGTTGACTTAAAACACAAATGAGTATGCCTAAATAACCCTGATGAAATCAACTAAAAAAGAGCTGAGATGTAGGGCAGTTCAATTCCAAAATTTTTCGAAGCAACTCTGGAATTGATTCCTCAGTGTTGTTGTTGTTGTTGTTTTTTTAAAGGCTAAGTCATGGAGTTTGTAAGACAAGTGTATTCTTTTTATATACTTTAGACACCAAGAAAAAATACATGTGTTTGTATTGTATGTTTTACATTTAGTCATTTAGCAGACGCTTTTATGCAAAGCGACTTACAAATGAGGACAATGGAAGCAATCAAAATCAACAAAAGAGCAATGCTATACAAGTGCTATAACAAGTATCAGTTAGCTTAACGCAGTACACGTAGCAAGGGTTTTTTAAATAATATAATAAATAAAAAGAAAACCGATAGAATAGAAAAAGAATAGAGCAAGCTAGTGTTAGAGGTCTTTTTTGCTTTTGTTAATTGTATAATAAATTAAAAGAAAACAGATATAATACAAAAAGATTAAAAAGCAAGTGTTATTTATTTATTTATTTTAAAGAAAACAAGCAGCAAATGAACGCAAGTCTAAAAGGGACACGTTTTTTTTTTTTTTTTAAGAATAGAATTAGAATAGAGAGTGCTAGAGTTAGAGGGTCAAATAAAGATGGAAGAGATGTGTTTTTAGCCAATTCTTGAAGATGGCGAAGGACTCAGCTGCTTGGATTGAGTTGGGCAGGTCTTTCCACCAGGAGGGAACATTTAATTTAAAAGTCCGTAAAAGTGATTTTGTGCCTGTTTGAGATGGCACAATAAAGCGACATTCACTTGCAGAACGCAAGCTTCTAGAGGACACATAAGTCTGAAGTAATGAATTTAGGTAAAGGGGCGCAGAGCCAGTGGTGGTTTTGTAGGCAAACATCAATGCCTTGAATTTTATGCGAACAGCTACTGGTAGCCAGTGCAAATTGATAAACAGGTGTGACATGCATTCTATTTGGCTCATTAAAAATTGTAAAGGTTTGATGGAACTGGCTGGAAGACCTGCCAAGAGAGCATTGCAATAGTCCAGCCTGGACCGAACAAGAGCTTGAACAATGTAAGCGCATTAATTGTCTGTTATTTGTTATTGGTTATTCATGGTCACAGGGGCACAGGTGATCACTTCCGTTTTCTTTATTATTTCCTTTGTCGGATTGTTTGGGAGGTTGGAAGGGGCGAGGAGCGGGAGCCAACTTTCTGTTGACCGTATTGCATTAGTATAATGTTTCATATGCTTTAATAAAACTTAAAAGCAAATCAAGATCGTCAGTCTTCTTTTGATGAGATAATGACCAAGTGCAAACGAGTCACAAGCCCACTACCTAGCCTCTATGTGGCTATTGGAGGCCGCGAAATGCAAATGAAAAGGAAGGGGGGGGGGGGATTAAGATAAATGGATTTTAATGAGGCTGAAAAGAGTGTGCATGTACTCTGTACTGTACAGAAGATCAGGCATCTCACTCAAACGGTCAGTGTATTGCCAAGGCTTTGTGTTGTTTGCTGCCAAACATGCTCTGTACTGAAGAAAGGGCCTGATCTTCTTGATGTTGAATAAAGCAAATCTGCAGGACCGGACAGTTTTAGCAATGTGGTCTGAGAAAGTCAGCTGATCATCAATCATAACTCCAAGGTTTCTGGCTGTTTTTGAAGGAGTTATGGTTGATGTGCCTAACTGGATGGTGAAATCGTGATGAAACGATGGGTTTGCTGGAACCACAAGCAGTTCTGTCTTGGCAAGGTTGAGTTGAAGGTGATGGTCCTTCATCCAACAAGAAATGTCTGTTAGACATTGTTGTTTTGTTTTATGTACAAAACTTTAATATTAAGAACTATGTCCAAGACATAGGCTAATCAATATTTGTCAGTTGTATGCTATTCGACATGCAGTATCACAGAATGAAATGGTGACAACAAACGTCTTTAAATTAAGTGAATATAAGGTAATAATTACCTATATGTAGTTTACTCAAGCCTCTACTTTTCGTATGATTTATTGGTTTTGGTAAGCGTAGGCTGCGTGAGTTCACTAAATGTCACTCTTAAAAGAGACCGCGTTAAAGTGCAGGAGCTGTGGATGCTTTAGAATGAAGAACAGAAGTATCAGAGACCTTGTTAAGCTGTACGGTTAAATGGCCTCTCTTTCTCAGTCTGTCTCATTTGGATGTGTCTCTGGAGGAGTTGTCTGAGTGGAGCTATTTGATAACCTGTCAGACACTGTACCCTTTCATAAGAGAGAAGTCAAAGAGCATTAAAGCATGGACCGCTCTGCTTGTTGCGGGTCTCCGCTGAATGACTGATGTCACTGATGTCAGACTGGTACTGGTGAAACCGCTGCAGAGTAGCCCAGTACCTGCGTGATTCGTCATAGACGTAAACATAAACGGAGAGAAGTAGCTCCAGCTAAAATGTTCTTCTGCAAGACTTACACAGTTTATTAACCGCTAGAGCACCAAACGTTATGGACATTTCTATTCAGGCAGTCTGAAATCTGAAAAAATATGTCTTGGTTCACTACATTCAACCAAATATTTCTTAAATAGTGTGTTGGCTGTAACAACTTCTCATATGAAGTTTACTGTGCTGAAAGTCTAGCAGCACTCAATGGATGACTAGTTGTTATTTTATTAAAACCAGGCGGTAACCTGAAGCGCCATGTAAACTTTTAAGAAAAAAAAAACAGCTTCTCCTCTGTGTCTTTCTCTGTGTCATCTGCCATTCAGCAGTAATTGCCTACGTTCAGGTCCTCTTCTCATGGCCACTATTACCTGCAATTTTCAGCTCATTATTCCTCTTGCGTAGGCTCCGGTCGCAGCTCTCGGTGCTGCTGCATCCCATCCCCCGCTCGCAAGAAAGATTTTTTAAAAAGGTTTCTCTAGGGGAAATATGAAATAGGAAGATTGTATAGAATTCTTATTTTTATTTATTCATCTGTTTTATTTAGTTTGTTTGTAAAGTTAAAATTGTGAAATTATTGTATACAGTTCATTGAATTATTATTGTTATTAAGACTATTTCAAAGGATTAGTTCACCCAAAAATGAAAATTTGCTGAATATTTACTCACCGTCAGGCCATCCAGGATGTAGATGAGTTTGATTCATCATAGGAACAGATTTGGAGAAATGTAGCATTACATCACTTGCTCACCAATGGATCCTCTGCAGTGAATGGGTGCCGTCAGAGTTCGAACAGCTGATAAAGACATCACAATAATCCACATGACTCCAGTCCACCAGTCCACGTTTTGTGAAGTGAAAAGCTGCATATTTGTAAGAAACGGCTCCATCAAATTTTTCCAAATCTGTTCCGATGAAGAAACAAACACATCTACATCTTGGATGGCCTGAGGGTAGGTACGTTTTCATTTTTGGGTGAACCATTCCTTTAAATCTTTTTACTTTTTAGATTTCCATGTAGCCCTTGAAACTGATAAGATCTAAATTATTACAAATTTTCCTTTGCACAGGTAAGTCAACTATCTTCAGGATTGTAAGTCTCTTTCTCTCTCTTTCTTTTTAGTGTGTGCTGTTCCTGTGGACATTGAAAATCAACCATTCCAACACCCTCTTCCTCCTCAGAGGCAACCATGAGTGTCGGCACCTCACAGAATACTTCACCTTCAAACAGGAATGTAAGTGTTGTGGGAATGAAGCATCTAGGAGTGCTGAGAGCTAAGTGATGTGTTGGCTCAAACTGTCCGTCGGGCTTTTCCTCCGCTTTCACTGATGTCGTCTCTTTGATGTCTGAAAAGCTGAGTTTTCAGCCAGCTGTCACCAGCTAGCACTTTCATTTACAGTGCAAACAGTATAACATTTCTCCTGGAGCGAAGTGTTCAAAATCGATTTGCCTTATTAGAGCGGACTCTATTTTGTAGTGTTTCTTAAAGTGTATTTACTTGATATAACTGGTGCAGATTTTTATACTGCACCAACTGCTAGTGGTGACTATAATTTTCTTTTACTGCTTTGCCTATGGCTAAATGTCACATCAGTGCAGTTTTGTTGGAGTTGGAGGGTCAGTGTGGTCTCACTTATCTTGTTGCCTGAGAGAACCACTTTAGTGAAATAGTAAGACTTTTACTTAAATGAATTGAATAACTTGTTTTTCTTAATGTGGGTTAAAACTACATAAGGGAGCTGCTCACGCTGTGAAATCTATTATTACATCAAGTTTGGCTGGAACATATTTACTGTTTCAATCTCCCAGCATACCAGAATCACACAATATGGTCACCGCCTATTGGTGCCATTGCTGACAGTTTTGGATCAAATTTAGCAATCTTCCTAGTAGTTAAGTATTTCTGATTAGAAAAAATGCAAATTAAAATGCAGTTTTAAAAATAGTTCTAGGTTTGCTGTGCTTATTTTTAGTGCTGCATAATTTGGCCTCAGTTTTTGTGATTTATATATCAATGACTATGATAATAATAATTATTATTTATATTATGAATATTGTTATTACCAAAAGAAAGATCTGAAGCAAAATAAATATTATTGTAAGTATTAGGTGTGTAACGATACACACATTCATATTGAACTCTTTGGTACGAGGCTTTCGGTTCGGTACACATTACAAACTGAACGATTCATTGGACTAATCCTGTTGCATTTGGAAAATAAAAGGGCTAAACTGATGAAATATAATGTTCTCAGTGCCACTGTTAGGCTGGCCGAGATTGACGGTGATACTGTTGTTAAGCTGCAACACCGGTTACGTCACTTGCCCAACACGGCACCGACCCCCACCGTCGTTTTGATTTTTTATAGTAATAAAAATGATTTAGTGCAGTAAAAGGACAGACACTACAATTAAAAACTGAACGCGGCTGCTCAATGTAGCGTGCCGAACGACAGTCACATCACAGATCAGATTTCATTTATCCAGTGAGGAGAGTAAGTCGAGCTGACTGACAAGAAGAGTGAGGTGAGACCGACAAGACGATGGCGGATGATTTAGTTTCTAAACGAAATGTAAAAGCGCCTGTTTGGTAGTATTTTGGATTTTGAAAAGCCTGTTGACTTTTGCCGTTTATCTAAGGTGATTTTGGACGTTTTTTTAAACATTCGTTTCTTATTTAATTGGTTCCACAGTGTTTGCTGATTTTTACTTTATTTAAACTTTGAGTAGTTTATTTATTTTATTTGACATCAAGGTGTATGCCGTGCCTCCAAGCTTTCTTATTCGTTTTGCTAATAAACATTCTACGCTTATTATTTATTTGGTTATATATTTACTTATTTCCAGTTTTATATACCTATTTAAACTTTATGTAAGTTATTTGTTATTTTATATTAGGCATAGCCTGCCCTGTAGCATGGTGTATTTTTATTCGTTTTGTTAATAAAAATTCTATGTTTTATATATAGGTTAAAGTGAGTTTGACGTTGTATTTTGTTGTTGCATTCAAGCAATTGACGCCGAATTGGCGCTAATTCGAAAATGTAAGCTATTTAAAAGCGAAGGAAAGTGAGGAAAAGAGGGAAAATTAAAACGAACAATTGCTTTAGGCCGAATTGCCGCTATTTGAAAGTGAAAGTAAAATGCGCACACCGCTTTTACAAGCTATTTAAAAGCGAAGGAAAGTGAGGAAAAGAGGGAACGCCCCTGCCCCCACGGTGATACCGGTATTATCTGTGTTGTCACACGCCGATTAACTGTTGGAAAAATTTCCTCACCGTCACAACCCTAGCCACTGTGCTCAACAAGGCAGCCCAAGCGACGAAACAGACAATGTGCTGTCTGCCCAGTGGCGTAGCAGACAGACATGCAGGGCACGCACTGCGAAAGGTCCCGTGATAACTTCCCCTTGCTGGGGTGCGTCGAAAGACGATGATCTTGTATCAACGATAGCCAGAGATATTGACAAAATCCATAAATTATTGGCAATATTAAAGGGTTAGTTCACCCAAAAATGAAAATTAACCTGTGTTTTACTCACCCTCAAGCCATCCTAAATGTATATGACTTTCTTCTTTCAGATGAATCCAATCGGAGTTATTAAAAATTCTCCTGACACTTCTAAGCTCTATCATTGCAGTGGATGGGTGTTTCTGTTCAACAGTCCAAAACACGTTAAATAAAGTGCGCGCATCTGTAATAAAATGTGCCTCACACGGCTCCGGGGTGAATGAAGGCCTCCTATAGCGAATCCATGTGTTTTTGTCAGAAGAATTTGTTTTAGTAATGCTTTCATATTTTTTGTACATGTCACATGTCATTTGTAACATGTGTAGAGGTTAGTAGATGTCATACTTAATTTGTTGCCTATTAGGCTGTGGGGGCGGAAGTGCAGTCAATTCGTTCTGGCGAACTCTTGTGTTCAGCCAACAGTATTTGTGTTCCATCCACATATTTCCAGTGGGCGTCAATGGGTTGTGAAAAAAAATAAGACACTTTTAGGACCTTAAAGGGATAGTTAACCCAAAAATGAAAATGTACATGATTTACTCACCCTCAAGCCATCACAGGTGTATGTGACTTTCTTCTTTCAGATGAATACAATCAGAGTTATATAAAAAAAAAATGTCCTGGCTTGTCCAAGCTTTATAATGGCAGTAAATGGGTGTCAAGTTTTTTAAGGCCAAAAAAGTGCATCCATCCATCCATCATAAAATGACTCCACACTGCTCTGGAGGGTGAATAAAGGCCTTCTGAAGCAAAGTGATGCATTTGTGTAAGAAAAATATCCATCCGTTCACCTAGTATGGCTTGAGTGTGAGTAAATCATGGGGTAATTTTCATTTTTGGGTGAACTATCCCTTTAAGACTTGTCCCTCACTGTCTGAAATGGGTCTACTCTCCCTAAGATCTATAGCAACCTTTTTAAGACTAAAAGAATATTCCCACTGCTGTGAGAGAGAGTTCATTAACAGGTTCTGTCTTTGTTTTACAGGCTTTACGTGCTCTGTTTTTTGCAAACAGCACTTTGTCCCTCTGAGAAAACAGGATAACAGACAGCTCTATTAGAGTAAGGTTTGTAGAGCTGCCAGAAAGTGTCCAGTTGTGAGTTATTAGTATCCTGCATAGTGAAGTGGATGGGGCTCATCTGGCTCACAAAGAGACAAAACCGATGAGCCGTTGTACACTATACGCAGCATTACCTCTCCTGATTTATGAGAGAGTAATGTCTTTTCATTGTGAAGCCTCTCATTAGCATTCTTTTACAATAATTTACTTAAAACCTTAATTCAGTGCAGCATGACCAGCCAGGATAGAGACGCAAGAAGCTGTTTAGCTTCTTTTCTGGCTTGGGTTTATTCTTACTCCTGTTGCTTACAAATACAGAGACATATTTGTTATCCCAAAGAATATTTCTACACAGGGATTTCTTCTCTCTCATCTGATGTGGTCGAACCGGGTTTGCATCTACTGAGCCCGGAACCCGTCTGCCAGGAGGTTATTACAGGATTTCTAAAGCCACTGCTTGGAGATCACATGACCAACCTGGACAACCAAAGTGTCCATACCCTTCTGCCCTTTGTCATAGCAGCAGCAACCACTTTTTTAATTTAATTTTAAAACACTCGTCATATGGAATATATTAGCTAGTGTGCTAGCATTAGCTAGTGTGACATCTTGGTTTCATTTATAGGTTTGTAATTAGTAAAATACAGAGTTTCGTATATATAGCTACAAAATGTAAACCCTGTATGTATTAAAGGGGTCATATGATGCGATTTCAAGTTTTCCTTTCTCTTTGGAGTGTTACAAGCTGTTCGTGAATGATTAAGATCCCTAAAGTTGCAAAGACTAAAGTCTCAAACCGAAAGAGATATTCTTTATAGAAGTTAAGACTCATCCAAGCCCTCCTAAAACGCCTCGTTTAAACATGCCCACACATGTCTACGTCACGATGTGGGAAGATGGCTGCCTCAGTGCTTGGCTCTCCAGTGTTTGTGCTGTTTTTGTTAGTTTTTCCAGTTTTTTTGTTTCTCAAACACGATCAGTTTTACCAGGGATGAACTGCTGAACATTCGGCAGAACACACCAAAAAATCTTCTACCGGATTTCGATTGGCGGAGCAGCGGCGCTGATCAAGCGCTTCAAGACGCGCAGACGGGGGAAGCGAGCCGATGCGCTTGTCAAGCTCAGACTGCGTGGTTTTCGAACGGCGTTGCCTAGCATCCATCTGGTGGTCGAACCGGGTTTGCATCTACTGAGCCCGGAACCCGTCTGCCAGGAGGTTATTACAGGATTTCTAAAGCCACTGCTTGGAGATCACATGACCAACCTGGACAACCAAAGTGTCCATACCCTTCTGCCCTTTGTCATAGCAGCAGCAACCACTTTTTTAATTTAATTTTAAAACACTCGTCATATGGAATATATTAGCTAGTGTGCTAGCATTAGCTAGTGTGACATCTTGGTTTCATTTATAGGTTTGTAATTAGTAAAATACAGAGTTTCGTATATATAGCTACAAAATGTAAACCCTGTATGTATTAAAGGGGTCATATGATGCGATTTCAAGTTTTCCTTTCTCTTTGGAGTGTTACAAGCTGTTCGTGAATGATTAAGATCCCTAAAGTTGCAAAGACTAAAGTCTCAAACCGAAAGAGATATTCTTTATAGAAGTTAAGACTCATCCAAGCCCTCCTAAAACGCCTCGTTTAAACATGCCCCCACATGTCT